CGGTCGCTCGAGGACTTTACTGCCCCAACGGCCGTCTGTCCTACGAGCGATGTGCCCTGCCCATTGCCACTTCTGTAACACTGAGACATTAATATGTAATAATTAACGTCCGTCTTACTATGTTGCTCTTTTATTACTCCATAACAAAAAGTGAAAACAAATTATTATATTGTATTTCTTTGGAATTATTATAATATATTAGCTGTCCCGGCAAACGTTGTTTTGCCATATAAATTAATAACGCTATAAAAAAATAGGAGTTGATGATAGAAGGGTGAAAATTTAGGATTGTATGTATTTTTGTATCATAAAAAAATAGAAACTAAAAATTTTGTCTAAAAATAAAAAAATAATTTAGGGGTGGACACCCCTAACATTTAGGGGGATGAAAAATAGATTTTTTACTTAATACGCTCACAAAATTTCATGAGAATCGGTCAAGCCTTTTCGGAGGAGTATGGGAAGGAAAACTGTGACACGAGAATTTTATATACATATAAGATAATATATTTCTTTGGAAAGAAAGACAATACATTCCTAATATAAAAAGATGTTTACATACACATCACTCGTCCTACATTAATTTGTAAATCTGGTAGCAAAACATATATTAGACATACTGATCAGGGTTTGGTACTGCAGATTTTTTTTTAATATCCGACGATTAGTTTAATAGTTTTAGGCGCATAAACTGATCTGTATACGTCGGTGTAGATAAGTTGTACAGCCTCGCCTCGACCTGTGTACAGTAAATCATACTGAAGCAATAGTTCGTGGGCTAAGAACAAACTCCCTCGGTCAGTTTGCCCCGGCTATATTTAGATGTGTACACTGCACTGTGGGGGAGGCGTTGTTTTACCCTTAGTTGGGCTTATCATTGTACAATAAGTGTATTGACGCAAATACTAACCCTGACATTTTGATTCATAAACAATATTTCAGGACAATTCATACAACGCCATCTAGTCTATCTGTGCAGATTTTTAAATATAAATTTAAAAAAATACTCCTCACTCAGAAATCTGTGCCATGATGTGTCTGCACTCCAAAAGCGGTGTAATACTAGTGTCACCAGAATTTATGTTTCAGTGTGTTTGTCTACGCCGATAGGGCACCAGTAGAGGATGATAAGATGAACATGAGGTCAGGTCAGTTAGCCCATCGTGGCAAATTCATCAGGAAGTTAACGTGATGGCTTCCAGGGGAAACCGCGTGGAGGTCAACCTGACATCGTACATTGCTAGCAATGGGGTCGAGAGTCCACATTATTAAATTCAAATTCAAATTCAAAATATCTTTATTCATGTAGCTCTATTACAGACTCTTATAATATGTCAAATCTACCATCAGTTCGGAATGATTTCGAGATGAGAAGAACTGACAAGAAACTCAGCTCGTATTTTTTTTTAATGTTGTACATATTTACAATAATACAATTTCATTTAAATTCAAATTTGGGAGAATAGAGTGACCACCAGCATATGCTATTGAAAAATAAAACAAAAAATCTAATCAGTGATCGCAACCTGGAACAGACCAGTCCCCACAAGCAGCACCCGTTCACGAGTATGACGGATGAGTCAGCCATCATTGCACTCAACCATATTAGTGGGATGGGGATACTAATATAGTAGAAAGATTAACTAATTAACACACCAAACAATTGGGACTCGATATCATCAAATTAGACGCGTCATAGCAGTTAATTTCGGCGCGATCTGGTTATCGTATGACGCGGTAGCTCAACAGTTTATTACTCTTATTAATCCATACATATAAATAAAATTCGAGTGTCTGTTCATAATATTGAAATAACCGTTTTTTACTAAATGCATATGAATATAAATACGGTATGAATATACATACACCAAAATTTCATTTTTTACAATTTTTGTCTGTCTGTCTGTTTGTTCCGGCTAATCTCTGAAATGACTGGAGCGATTTTAACGGGACATTTATTGGCAGGTAGCTAATGTAATAAGGAGTAACTTAGGCTACTTTTATTTCAGAACATATAAATAAAATTGGAGTGTCTGTTTGTAATATTGAAATAAACGTTTTTTACTACATGCATATGAATATAAATAGAGCACATACACCAAATAACATTTGTTACAATTTTTGTCTGTCCATCTGTCTGTATGTTTGTTCCGGCTAATCTCTGAAATGGCTGGAGTGATTTTGACGGGACATTGGCAGGTAGCCTATGTCCTTGCTCAGCGTCTAGACTATCTGTGTGTAAATTTCATTTAAATCGGTCCAGTAGTTTTGGCGTGAAAGCGAGACAGACAGACAGAGTTACTTTCGCATGTCTAATATTGGTAAGAAAGTCAAGATAAAAACGATTGCGAGTTCGATTCCTTGCACGGTACAAAGATTTATATTCATGAGTATGATTGTTGGTATCGGTCTGGGGGTTTCCTGTGAATATTATGTATGTATTTGAATATTTATATCAATTGTTTAGTAACCATTACGCAAACCCTTAGTTTGCGGCTAGATGGCGCTGTGTAAATTGTCCAGATTCATTATTATATATACATATCTCATAATCTAACATGATTGTATAACAAGTCGTTTGTATTCAATGGATGGCGTGAGGCGATGGGTGAACAGCAAACGAGCATCGGCTGCTCAATATCAATAGAAATACTCTCGGATTCATATTTAAATTAGTAAAAGTACTTGGCGTTGAAATGTTTTCATAAGAAGACCAGACCGTATGGACTCCGTTGAAAATCAGCGCTGTAGCTTCGGCTGCAGCAATATGCTGAGTCCTTTTTACAAATATTTTATAGTAGCATATTGATCTATTTTTTTTATTATGTTGTGGCTATGTGTATGCATATATTGTATGTATCATACGTACATGTGTACAGTGGACCCGCGGTGATCCGGCCCCCCTTGTAATCCAACATTGTCTATTATTTGTTATTGAATATTACTTTGACAATATACTTCAGAGTGCATATACATACATACATATATAACATAGAATCTTATCACTGGATCTGTAATTTGTCGGATTACAAGATACTCTTTTGTAAAAAATTCCGGACTATAAGCAGAGGACCCTTAAGCAGCACTCTATAATCCGACAAATACGATGGTCCGACACTGCCCTGCAAAACGTTTGTCGGATAACCGGGGGTCCACTATATATGTATATAATATAAAGAATCATCATTGGATCTATAATTTGTCGGATTACAAGGTTTTGTAAAAAAATTCGGACTATAAGGGGTCTTAGGCAGTACTCTGTAATCCGACAAATTCGATAGTCCGACACTGCCCTGCAAAATGATTGTCGGACTACCGGGGGTCCACTGTATATGTAATGTAATTGAATATATATGAATAGTAAAAATATTTGCTGTATTTTCTGTACATGTTTTATTATATTGCATTGGGCAAATATAATAAAAACAAAGAAGATGCAAATTTTGATACAAAATATCTTCGTTTCCATGTTGTTTATGATACAATAACACTATTACTTACTACTCTTACTGCATAATCCCATTTTAATTGGAATCGGCTCTCCTAATCAGTCGTCTCCAGAAGCTTCTTAACTTGATCGTTATTGGGTCTAAATTTAGACATAAAAGGTCTTTTTTGATATCTGCTATCCATGTAAGTCGAGGTCTTCTACGCTTCTTTTATTCAAGATTGACGATCAGCACTTTTCTAGTAATTTGGTCTTCTGGTCTTCTCGTGACGTGACTGTACTAACATAATTTGGACTCGTAACTTATCATGATTGGCACTTTTGGAGTGATATGCTCTGGTCTTCTCATGACTTGACCGTACCAACATAATTTGGACTCTAATGTATCATGAATAGGTCATACTTTAAATGTTGCACGCAAGTATTTGTTCGGAACCCTGACTACAAACCGCCGATTTTAAGATACAAGAATACATTTTACAATTTCAAAGTAGTGATGCGAACGGCCTGCATCATAAACATCCGTCTTGCGTTCGATTGAAACTGTGTCAGTAACGCTTTCCATATATCGGTTCTGAGGAATATTGTATCTCCATACATGTAAATTTTTGCTGTTATATGAATCATTTATGTGTCTTGCATCCGCTATGACATGCAATTCTCTTATTGTTATTATTGCAGTTGTGAAGGAAGACTGTGTGTACGGGTTGCAAATGAGGCATATGCCTTGATATGGTATATTTGTATACAAACTGACTCGTGCGACTTTGTCCGCATCACACTTAATCCAATTATAATTGTTTCATTATATTTACTTAATATCTTCTTATATCATAGCCTATGTATTATTCTGTTGTATAAGCTTTATTATTTTAAAGTTTCATTAAAATCAGTTCAGTAGTTTCTACGTGAATGAATAACAAACCACCAACCATCCATACTCACAGATTTTCGCCTTTAAAATATTAGTAATATTTTCTTTGCGATTGCAAAGAAGCTTTCTTGCGATCTCAAAGGGAAACTTAACAATTGATTAAAAAAAATCGCTATTAAAGGGGACAAAATATCAAAAATGAAAAGAAGTATATAAAACCTATAAGAAAAGTTGCCTTCAGCAACAGTTATTACTTCTTATGCCATACAGTGATAGTAAGGAAGAGTGACTCTTTTAGAGATATATCGTGTTTTACTAACATCGTCTCTAATAATATAGTTACGTAATATGTAAGGTGCAATAAAGAATATATAACAGTTATAGGTATACGTGAATTTATTAGCTGTAATATTTGAAAGAATTATTTTTAATTGTACGGAACTCTGCGGGAAATAGTCCGGATAACAGCAAGTAATGTTTAAAACCTAATTTAATTTGTATCTCTTCATTTGTTACAGGATATATTCGTGATTGAAGCAAAATTCATCTGCAAAGAACTTTCAAATGAGTAGTAGATGAGGCATAAAATAATCCAAACTGCCATAAAGTATAAAAAAAATAAAATGACAAGAAAGATTTCGAAATTCAAATCCAGTGATGTTCTAGTGCAGTGTTAGTGAGAAAAGTTATACAATATTCCTAGGATTAAAGATATTGCTAAAAATGGAAGCACATAATGCTACATTCTATCCGAGAGAAGCCACGATATTAGCTGCAGTCTGCGCGTGTGTGTTCAGCGTGGTTGGTGTGGTTGGTACGTACGATTTTCTTTCTTTACGACTGCTATCCCAAATGGGGTGACCAGTGGACTTGTTAATTGTCGATACCGTGATCAATACGATAATTGATATGCACACATTGCACTCGTTATATTTGAATCTACTGTACAATGAATGGCAAGCCTACCATATTTCGATTTAGATTTGTTTCTACGTAAAATTAGGAAAATAACATCTTCATTCATCTTCTTCATTATTCTTATTGAGTTCCCGATATTTCGGCAGTGTTTCAACCCCCAAGATCACGCATAAATTGAAGAGCAACGGATGATTTTCCTAATTTTACGTATGATAACGCGTCCAATTTAAAAAGTTTAAATGTTTGATTATAGGCGTTTCAAAAATGTAAATTTCCATACAAAACATTTTGGTGTTGGCCCAGATTCAAACTCACAGACCTTGAAACCTTTAGGAGCTAAGTCGGGGTTTAAATCTAAGCCACGACGCTTTTATTTAACGGTTTATTTATTATTGTTTATATATTGAAGTTAGTTTATATTATCGATTCACATAAACGTTGATGCACTTACGTATACTAGGTACTATTCGTGGAAAGCGTTGATGTATATGTTTACAATTGTGACAACACAGAGTAGCAACACGAGTATAAGAATAACATTTCTGAAGCTATTAATCCAGGGCCGACGAAGACTGAGCAGGCGCCGCACGTTATGACTAAAAAACTTAAGACAGTACTTTGGGACAGCCGCCAGAACCCTTTTCAGAACAGCGGTGCACAAAATTAAAATCTCCAAGATGATTGCTAACTCCAGTAACAAAGGGCACAAAAGAAAAAGAAGCTATTACGGCTACAGCCAACATTAGTGTAGAGTTACAACTCAGCAAGCGCCATTAGGAGGTTTTAGAGGCGGGCTAAACCCTAAGCAACCTAGGCATGTATCTAGGGCCCGTAATTTTTAAAACTACCAAAGGCAAAGTGTTAGTTATAGATGATAAATATCATGTCATAACTGAAAATTTAAAGTGCTGCCTAGGGCTAACTTTAGCCTTAGTCCATCACTGGATTGTATTTTCAGTTTTTGAATAATGAAACATATTCTTAGTAGTTGTTACGCTATCGGCCATGAATCCAAGAAAGGAAGGGTCAAGCTAGAACCGTGTTTTATCGAAAGTCTTGCTACAAATAAGTAATACAGTTTTAATTCGGATACTTTTACTATAACTTAACATTTAGAATAGCTAGAAATGAAATAATTTTCAAGTTTATCACCTTCATTAGTTCCATTATAAATGATTTTTATTTTTAGCGGTGTTTTTGATTTATAGATGCGAGTTGTAAATAGACCAATTTATTCGATCAAAACACTCTAAGCTACTACACTACAAATCTATATCTATATTGATATATAGGACTCAAGAGTTTGTTTGTTTAAACGATATAATCTCTGGACATATCAATGGAATTTAAAAGAACTGTTTGCATTACATAGCCAGGTTTTTGAGGAAGGTTAGGTTATTATTATATTGACCCCCCCCCCCGTCCTTATAATACAAACATATATAGGGATATATAATATTTTTATATTTTAAAGAAGATGTTACATATGAATGTGGAAGGATATAGCTGCAAAAGAGATGGATGAACTGTGTGAAAGATGATATGGTAAGAAAGGGAGTAAATAACGAGATGACTGCGAACAGGGATGATCGGAAGAGAAAAATATAATACGCCAATCCCAAATAAACGGAATAACGAAGAAGCAGATAATGAAGCCCTAGATCTGATTTATAAAGTTAATATTATAAACATATAGAAAATGTCATTACAAAATAATGGATAAGGTTCTTATGAGGTATTGTAGACATAGACGTTGTAAGTATTATTTTAATGTCCAAACTAAATATCAAAATTCGAATTTATAGCCGAATGTTTAATAATAATCGATCACTTAACACGTACGCAACATAAAACGCAAAGTGCCAGTCGTAATCGGACATCAAACAACTCGTTTCCAGCGGGCTCGATACACGACGCATTCGATCGGCGGCTGTGTAAACAAACAATGGCGCATCACTAGACCGTCGCCGGTCGTGGCAGTGTTGCCAGATGCACTTTCTTCCCATATTTACTCAAAAAACAATTTATAATTTTAGGACATAATTTTGAAGAAATTTTTCACAATAATTTTGTGCCTACACTTGTAATAGTTCTGTCAACACTTGAGACCCTTCCATTAGGTTACGTCTCCACACAACGTAGATTTAAGTTCAGTGTAAAATCAGCCCACGTTACGACTCCGCGTCGAATGTACGCGTTACTAATAAATTAATAAGCCATGTAGCACACTACCAAATAAAATTGCTTCATCACATCATATATGTATAACGTTACAGTGGTGAGGTTAACCACCGCGCTACAATTTCTTATTATTTAAATTTAAATTCCATATTTAGTAATGTAAAAGTGTAGAACTAAATAAATTTATTTTTCAAAGTGGTCACTGTAAATTCTGGATGTTGCTTTTGTTTTTTTATTATTTCTACTTTTATGCTTTATTCATTTTAGGCTGTAATAATATAACAATACCAGAATCCCGGTCATATTTTAGTCTCGAAATTTTCGGGTTTAAATGAAATGAATCCTGGGATTTTCGGGATTGTTATGTTTTTTTAAATAAGTCAAGGTGTAACAGTTTAGCCTAAACTGCTATAATAACGGCGACCCTGCTATGTGACATGAATTCTACATTTTTTTGTGTATTGCTTTTAAAAGCTTAACAAAAATAAGTATAAATTAGCGCAATGAGGGGATAACTTTCCGCTAACATATTTTCCCATCATCAATGCCTAAACATTTAATCTTCTTTACAAAATATTCTCCCAATCTTGGGAAGAAAATCTAAAATCTGGCAACACTATATCGGTGCATTGCATGCTTATATTTGGAAGTTTATATTCTACTGCAGGATTTCTCAAACTTATAGCTCCACGTAGCTCGATGAGTCTAATACCGGTTGTTATTCCCGATGGGGTGCTCAAAGATGGAGTGGGGTTAAAGAGGCGCCTCCTTCTCTTACCACCTTCTTTCGTATTAACTAGATTTGTTATCAGTGTTACTATCACCTCACTAGTTATTTGGTGTCTGCCAGATTCGAACTTTTGGATCTGAGGAGTAAGAAACCGCCAAGTTACGAAGCTAAAATTAAAACGCATAATGATATTTACATTATTTTGTTATTATAACAAAAATATCTGGCATCGAGAAAACCTTGGTGCTCCGTGGTCGGCCGAAAATGCAAAAATATATTTAAAAATAACTTTCGCGTAATGAGATAAATAATGTCAAACAGAACTCTGCACCCAGCTGCCGATGGTGAGCGTGTATCTAACGCCTTACATCGCACAATAAAATAAATAAAATGTAAATTCAGCCGACGTTGTAGTCAAAATATTTAAAGAAGTCGAGATCACTGGCTGATCTTGATCTAGCTGCTGCTGACAGATGCAAGCTCGTAATTCATTGAATGCAACTCTTAAACTAACCATAGAGTATGAATCTAGCCGGATCTTGTTTATAACGCCCACCTTTCCCATAACACCAAACGGGCGAGGTGCAAAGGTCACTTTAACATACCAGGATGGTAGCAAACAGCATACTTTCCATCTGATGGTAAATGGTAGGGACATGATATGCGAAGGAACATATAGGAGGGTGTCTTAAAGAAAGTATTTAACATGAACGTGTATGGATGGAAAGAGAGAGGACGACCAAAAAGAGGGATGGATTGTGTGAAAGGTGATGTGTATAAAAGAAGAGTAAGTTTGGAAATGACGGCTGATAGGGATCAATGGAAGATGTCAAATAACGGGATGAAGGCAAGGCAATGATGATGATGATGATAGAAGTGTATAAAACTCACTTTCGAAATGTTCTTAACAACATCAGCGCGCTATGAAGAATAAAATAGAATAATAAATTCTTTATCCAAACAAACTAAAATTTGAACACTTTCAAATGGTTATACTTATTTTATTTTAATCTACCACTTATTCGAAAAACCGTCTCACCACAAGAAGAACGAGCAAGAAACTTGCTTATTGCTCTGTTAATTACTGTTGGAACTTTAAATTTTAAAGATATAACGTGTGAGTACAAACTACCAACTAGGAGTAATTCATTAGAGTCAAAATATTAAATACACAAGCAACTGGTTGAGTAACTAAATAAGAATAAATTAGTCGTAGTGATTAGAGCAGAGCAGTCCATACAAGCATCAGATAATATCAGACCCTAATCCGTGACGCCTTAACTCCACATCAATAGGCCTTTCATTGCCAGGGCATCAGCCTCCCGCTTTTTATTTCGCTTTTATAAGCAATAAAACATACGCTCCGTTATAAGAATGGTCTTATTCATACCGTACATATTGTAAATCCAGTTGAATGGATATCTTCAATTAGGTACATCGTTACAGAGTCACATCTGTTCTTTTCAATTCTGTACAGCAAAAGTATGATTTAGTTTTTCTTGCATCTGTTAGTTGACAGTGTTTTCGTATTTTCCTTCAGAATGGTCAAATTTAGACCTTTTAGCATTAGATTCCAGTATGTATGGGCCTTTTCTTAATGGAATAAAATATATAAATCTTAGATACATGAGTAGATAGATAGATATGTCGTTTATTTGTTTGTTACTGATCACACACAACATTTTCATAAAATTAGACAATACATAATACGACATAAGATTTACAAGTTTGTGTTATTATGTGTGATCTGTAGCAATACAAAAAGGTCGAAGCTCAGCGTGGAACATTGTTCAGGGAACAAAACACTGATTTTCAGCTTCAACCCATATGAGAGTACGCACAGTGGGAACTTTGACTCATTTTCATCTCATAAATCTATAACTTCTGTATTAATAAAGATATATACATGATTTTTTTTCCTGATAATCTTAAATATATATACTTTTAAATAATGTATGCTATGTGAGTAAAAAAATATTTCTAAT